CTGACCGCTCTCCACCTTGGATAGCTAGACCACCTTGGATGCTGACCATAGCTGATTCAAGCAACCTGTCTGGCCCCTTCCTCTCACCATCCTATGTGTGTTTCTCCCAAAGATGCATACTGACCAAAAAGTAAATCTTCCGAGACAGTAGGAGGCACTCTTTTAATAAGGATTTACACATGGCTGAATTCCTCTTTCAAAATCCACAAACACTCTGCCCAGTGACTTAGATAGTTCTAGCTATGTTCCCCACTATTGAGTATACTCTTTGTGGAAATGGATCACGTCCGATTCATCTTTGGACCTTCTACTGCATACAACAGCATCTCTGAATGTAGTTAAATAAACATTTACTGAATTCAATTAAGAACATCTTCTCTATTATTTATTTTGAAGCAGTATGACAGAACATAGAAACATATACATACATATGTAAATACTCAAATCTGGAAAAACATTTTACTCTGCTGTTCTCCACCTACCTTCCAAATTTTCCATTTGTTAGTCACTTCCCAATGTCTTAAATGAATTCTCTAATATATCTACCTCCAAGTCATGGCTAAAAGCTTGCCACCCATTGACTGGGTGTGGTGGCTCACGCCTGTAATCCCAGCACTTTGGGAGGCCGAGGTGGTTGGATCACCTGAGGTCAGAAGTTCAAGACCAGCCTGGTCAACATGATGAAACCCCGTCTCTACTAAATATACAAAAATTAGCCAGGCGTGGTGGCAGGCACCTGTAATCCCAGCTACTCAGGAGGCTGAGGCAGGAGAATTGCTTGAACCCGGGAGGCAGAGGTTGCAGTGAGCCGAGATCGTGCCACTGCGCTCCAGCCTGGCAACAAGAGTGAAACTTCATTCCAAAAAAAAAAAAAAAAAAAAAAAAACTTGCCACCCATGATCTACATACTATAAACTAGAGTTTTTACTGTCATCTATGAACAGGTCACAGACACAATGACTTTTCTCCTTGTTTTCTTCCTCATGGTTTTTTATGTCTATAGAATTTACCATTGGTGTCAGAAGAGTTTCAACAGAAGAGTTTAATTATTCAGTATTACATAAATTAGTTAAGTGGCTACAGCAAGGTTATTATGGGTCCAGGTAGTATTGGCTCAAAAGTCAGAAAGCTCTTAACCACTGCTGCATTGTCCCCACAAGCTCACTATACACCAGCTTTTAAATACACTATGGTTCATTGGTTAACTTACTTGATGGAAAGGCTACTAAAATTGTAAAACATCTGATTCAGCAAGCTGGCTACAGAAAGACAGTGAGGCAGTGTGGCATACCAATAAGAGCTTGTTTTCGGAATCAAAATTCCTGGGTCCCAGTCCCATCTCAAACTATTTAATAACTGTATGACCCTGGGTAATTTACTTGACTTCTCTGTGCCTCACAGTCCTCAGATACAGAATGAGAATAACAGGATACCTTCTCTAGGGTACTCTGATGATAAAATAAGACACTGAATGTAAAATACTGGAAATTTTCCCAACACATATAAATCTTAGCTCTTCTTACTATTATTATTATTACATTGTCCTGAATCATAGATGGCAATAAAAAGGTACATGTTGAATAATGAATTTGGACTTTGCATCCAGACTATGAGCTGTAAATCCCATATCCCATTAAAAGTAACCAAGACTCTAGAGAAAGGCTGATTCCAGGTATGGACAGGAAAAGCATTAAATGATCCTGGGACATGGTATTGTTCCTAAAACCAAGGAAGCTCTCAAAACCTCATGGCTCATAACGAATGGAGACAGATTCCACGTGGAAGAGGTGCCAACTGGTTGGAGGTGAAACAACATGAACATAAGAAGAAGAATGATGACATCGTATTGAAAAACACATAATACATAAAAACATCATTAAGTAATTTCACAATGATACTCTCCAAAAAAACAACCACTACTACATCCTATAAGGGTTGCTAAGGCATCAACTCATTATTCTGAAAACTTACAAATAAAGGCAAATACTCAAACATTTGTCATGTACTTGTTAGGATGAAGGAAAGGTCTCTTTTCTAAAAATCATAGCTAAAAAGAGTGAAAATTGGAAAACGACTCCTTGGCAACCCCTAATGCAATAATAGACTTTGGCAAAAATCTTTGATAGATAACAATGGATGGCAAGCTGATGGTGAACTTTATGATAGACGGATTAGGATGACAGTTCCTGAACCCACTGCTTGATCTTAGCGTCACTGAGAGTGAAATGGCTGATATCCTCTTCCTGTGATGGCAATATGATAGAAATACACAGCACTGCCAGTGTATCCCTTTTACCAAAAAAAAAAAACCTAAATATAATTGAGTCTTTGTGTCTAAATATTAGTTTACAAGAAATATGGGCAATAAGAGAAATAATTTGGAAACATGGTAAGAATCAGACAAAATCAAAATATGGGAAATCCTATGGGTAAAGTAACCCAATTTCATCAATGAGTAAGTGGCCTGAGAAATCAGAAGGGGTATTGTTCTAAATTAAGGGAGACTTAAGAACTATGTCAACAAAAGGCAGTTATGAACTTTGGATCTTGACTTGAAAAGCAGTAAAAAAAGATATATTTTAGACAGTAGGAAAAAACTTTAAGGGATTATTAACATGACTGAGACAATGGCATTTGGGGTTTTTTTTAGTGCTATCTTTTACAGAAGCATAATGAAGTGTTCACAGACTAAGCGGTACGCTGTATAAGATTTGTTTTAAAATACTCTAGTTAAAGAAAAAGGAGGGGACTTCCACTTCCAGGAAGTTGGGGTAGACGAGGCGAGGCCAGAAGGAAATGGATGATATGGCTCTTGACAAGGGACCACCAGGGATCCTTGTGGGGACAGAATGTTCTGTATCTTGACTGAATCAAGGTCAATATCCTGGTTGTGATTTTGTACTATAATCCTGCAAGATGTTACCATGAAGGGAAATTTTGGAAGGGTACAAGTGATTCCTCTGTATTGCCTCTCACAGCTGCATGTGAATCCCAAAAGCAAAAGGTAATTGATAAAATGAAAACATGACGTGGCAGGAGACAGATGAAAAAGAATGGCAGAAAAGTTTATGGCTAGAGGATTCATTACAATCTTTCTCTCTCTTCATTTGCTTGAAAATTTCCTTAAAAAAAGGGTTTCCTAAGGTTTAGAAAAGTAAACTTTGCAATTTCCCTACAAACTGGTATTAACTCCTGATTTTCCTAACTGGTGTGTCCGCAGACTTCCAAATTCCCACACCACTAGGCTATTCTACACACTCTTGCTACTTGTTTCTTTCTAAAATACTATATATATATATGTGTGTATATGTATATATATATATATACACACACACACCTTACTCTATCACTCCTCGCTTAAAAGGAACTCTGCTACTTCAGGATAAAGTTCACGGTTATTTAAAAAAAAAAAAAAAAAAAAATCCCTCCACAGTCAGGCCTGAGCAATTGTGTGTTCATATCCCACACGCCCTCTGCATAAACCCTGCACTTTGGTCAAACTAGACTCACAGTTCCACAGATATAATTTTGGACACAGTACTTGTGCCTGTGTGCCATTCTCCTGCCTGCTACTCACTCTCTACTCCACAGACCTAAATCTCACCCATTTTTACAAAGCAGAACAAAATCCATCTTCTTCATGAAGTTTCCCCTTCAAAACAAGATTCTCAACAGTAAGGATCATGTATTTTATCGCAATGCCTATTAAACTAGCCTTCCTGATACAATCGAGGTTTTCAATGGAAGGATGTGGATTTCACTGAATGAATGTTTAATGTAAAGACTTGGAGAGATTACCAAATTTTAGAAAAAAATTTAAAAGAAGAAATGTTAAAGAGATTTAAAAATAAAAACTGGAATTTAGTACACTTGAATTTCAAATAGCAATACTATATTTAATTTGTTTTATCACCTTGGGCAACTCATTTAACATATCTTGGCATTTGGTTCTAAAATATAAAATGAAGCACAAGGCTCCTCATTTTTTAATATGTAGATACTATACTTGCCTCTGGAAATAAATATCCCAAGGACTTCCACAGACTATAATTTTATTCCTAAACATTACTCATCAACAGAGTCTAAACTTTATATAAAATATACAAAGCAAAACAGTATCCCAGATCCACCAGTTTTTAAATAAACCCGAGTCAACAAGAATGAATTACGTGATGAGTCTGGAGACCACGGGAAGTAGGGCTACCGTATCATTTAAAGGTATTGCATTTGATGAGACTTCCTAAAGTACCTGCACCCTAAGGGAGGTACAGTCTTTCTTCCCATAGCATTAAAAATCTGCCATTCCATAACTTGAAGCTAACTGTCAAAGATGTATAGTACAAAGGCAGAAACATTTTATTTCAAAGATTATGACCTTGTCAAGAAACCACTAAGTTTTCCCTGAATACTGAGGTGGAGACTCACAAGGACAGGAAGCGCACTGGGGAGAACACAGAATGAGATTAGATATTAAGAGAATAAATTCTACTTTGCCTTAAGAAAAAAAAAAATGTCATGCTCTAAGCAGGCCTGTGTATTCAGGAAGGTCATGACTCATAGTCTGCCTTCCAGGTTGGAAGTGGCAGGAATATTAACCAAACCATGAAGCCTGCACAGTTTGCCCTCACATTGACCCTCTGGGGATGCCCAGGCTGGAAGAGAACAGAGTTGTATAAGCATCAGCTGTACCCACCACTAGTACTCAGTGAAACTTGGAAGAGCACCTATCAAAGAGAACATCATTAGCACATGAATGAGGAGGCAACATTCCTGCTCTAGAACTTTGAATTCATTAGGATGCGGAGGTTGATTCCATGAGAGAGCCCAACACGGGGAAAGAGATGGGCTAATGGGATGAACTGTGGAAGCTAAGCACAGGGCCTTAGGGATGAGTGAACAAAGGTCATAGGAACCCAAAGACTAGTCTGGGGAGAAAAGCACGAAGCAGCAGTTCATTTTTCTCTGCACTGGCCCAGCAGCACCAGAGTCCTGGCAGTTACCTGAGGTTTCTTCACCTTAATGATCCAAGTGGGTGGGACAATAACAGCAGCATGAGCCCCCAGGGAGCAGGGTTCTTCAATGTGATGCAGCATGAAGCAGGTCACCTTATTGTGAAACTAAAGAGAAAAATAGGCCAGTAAACAATTCTAGTCAAAGAGTAATGCTGCAGCAAGAAGGGATAAATATGTACACGCACACACACACACACTCATTACATGCACAAAAATACATATGCATGCACACATGCACACACAGACACACACTGAGGACATGCTTTCCTCATCACGGCCCAGCCAGCCCCAGGAGCTTAGAAACCAGATTTCAAATTTATTCCGGTTTACAAACTTATAACATTGATGACAAGAAATCAGTCTAGCAGGATGAAGCCTGCTAAAACTTTCTAATTGTTGCATGGAATATTTACATAAAAGTTTTAGAGTCTTGGAGGGTTCTACTAATCCTGATTTTGCACAAAATTTTCACACACACTTCCCTTGACCTGCACTGGCCATGGACTTGGTTGATTTAAAATAACGTTGAGAAGGAAATGAACAGACAGAAAGGCAATGCCTACCACCTGCCTTTCCTTTCCCTATCATAGATATAAACCCTCCCAGGTTGTCTTTCCAGTTTAGAGAGGGCAGGAAAGAAGCATGATGTCTGTTCTACAAAGATGAAAATCCCAGAAGTAACAAAGTACAAAGAGATCATTTCTGTTGGGTTTGTCTGGGACTGCTAAAAAATATACAATGACCCTATTACTCTTGGTAAGTCTAAAGTGATTTTTGCTTTTGAAAGGAAGTAAATGTAGGCTAATGATCGAAACAATACCACAGTATAAGGGTCTTAATTCTATACCCCAACAGTGACACTCAGACTGGTGACCTTAGGCCAGTCAAGTTTTCAACCATCTTTTGTGTGACTATAACGTGATAGTGGTGTGTAGTAACATTTATTTTTCTGAAAAAGAAAACTAAAATCAACATTATGCAATAATTATAGGCCTTAAATTTTAATCATAGTGATTTTAAAAATTTAACCTCAGTTTCTTCTTAGATTATACTTCACCTAACTACATAATTTAGCATTTTAACTGCAACAATGTTAAAAGTAAAAAGTATCACTGATAATAATTATGCTGAAAGCACAAACACAAATTAGGACCGTCTCCAAAAAAATCTGGCAAATATGGTCACTCTAATTACATTACATAACATTAGAGAGGTTTTTGTTTTCATGTCTTCATGTCTTCAAGATCTGCTATGATCCTGTGGCTAATTATTAATCAAGCAGTTGTGTATAAAATACTGATAAAATAATTAATAATTCTGTCTGCCACCAGTTATTTATGATCTGCAAACAAATATACCAGAGAAATATTATTAACATTTGAATACCTTCTTTAAAAATTGCTTTTTCTTCTTGGCAATTCAAATAAACCCTCAAATGTATGACCACTGCATTTCTAAAATGTTAGGGATCACAGAGACTGCCTATGTCAAGTCCCTCAATGAATACTTGAGTAATCTCCAATCTAGAGACTCAGAGGTACATCCAAGATTGCATAGTTTTTAAATGATGGAAACAAAACCGCATCCCTGGAAATCCAGGTCCCAAACCCCATATTCTTTCTCCTGTACCATAAAGGGTCACATATTTATTTGCTTGTCTGACATCAAATATCCTAGAAGGGGTTCACCTGGACTGTGAAAACATATCACCACTGTAATTTGTGTTCAAATCTTTTGTGTCTATCGTCCCTACGAAAATCGCCCTCTACAATGTGGGAAACTGGGAAATTCAAAGAGATGTGGAACTGACCAAAGCTCTACCACAATAGTCAGGTGAAAGTTGTCCTTTGTAGTGATTCGGTTTGACTACAGATTAATAGAAAGAGTACACGTTCATTGTAAAGTGAGAATGAGTTTCCAAATTAACTGAATCTGGATAGACCTGGTAGCTGCACAGGGCAGGAGCAGATGCAGCCGATCTGAGCACACTGCCGCCCAGAAGGCGGCCCCACCAGTGGGGTCTCACCAGATCAGAAGAACCAGGAGCAAAGATAGCAGCACTGGGAACCCCTGGACCACAAATGGAGATATTGCCTTGCTGGTAAAGAGTTTCATTCAAGATCTGGGATGGCCTTATAGTTGTGCACACATTCTTGAACAGATGTGCAATGATTATTTATGCAACAACTAACTGAAAGTGAAAGAAAATGCCAGGAATAAAAAATGTCGCAGGATTGTGATGCAGTGACACTGAGCTTTCCAGACCACTGAGTCTCTATCTAGTGACGGCAGGTTCTTCTGACATGTAGGGGCTAGAGATATTATTAGTTTGAACTATATGGAACTGCCAAAATTTAAATGGTTTTGACCCACGATATGTCAATTTCATATGTTTCAACTAAATACGTCTGTTCCAGCCCCATGACCTGTGTTTAGCATGATGTGTGTAGTGGCATGAGTTTTCTGCAAACTTTTAACCTCACCAAGACAACACAGCCTTTCCTTTGCAGGTCCCCCGTGCAATGAAGGGGTTATATATTCCAACTTATTCAAAAGAATAGGGACATTGAGAAATTACAGCAGGCATCAGCAAACTTTTTCTATAAAGGCACAGGGAGTAAATATTTTAGGCTTATGGGGCCATCCACCTATGATGCAATTACTCAGCTTTGCCATTGTAGCACAAAAGTATCTATAGACAATACATAAATGAAAAAGCAGCCACAGACAATATATAAATAACTGGGCATGGCTGCATTCCAATGAAATTTTATTTACAAAAATAGATGGCAGCCAGACTTGGCCTATGAGCTGTAGTCTGCCAACACCTGGGTTAGACTATATGTTATCTGGTAAAAGAAAGAACAGGTACACAGGTACACAGTTACAAACAAATAAGAAAATGTAGCATCTGGTACAGACAGAGGAATTAGGCTCTAAATAAAGTGGGGGAAAAGGTAGATTGAAGAAAAGTAAACAGGGACGTTACCATCAGATCCTAATGAATATATATGTTAAAATGTAAGAAAGAGCTACATTTCAGTGAGCATACAGACAACATCCAAACCTACAAAAGCATACAAGAACCACTCTTCTTATCCTCACACTTAGCCCCAAAATAAAAAGTCATGCACTTTAAACATTAAAACCAGAAGAGCCAGGATTCGAGTCCACCTGTGTTGAAGGGACCTCGTATGTCATACATTGCTTTGCTTCTAATGTTGCACCTTCCTATCATAGGAGGAGTTCTCAACAATATAGAGGCACTGGGGGGAAAATGTGGAGTAAGAAGTCCTCAATTCTAGTCCCAGTGTTAGAATTAGGGGAGGATTTTCTAGTCTTTGACCCCAAGCTTCAATGTATATAAAATACAGAAGTTAATTTATCTCTCTAGTGTATCCCAGTTCATCTATGCTATTGTTCTACAGTTTCAATCTGTCGTTCTTCCTCCAAGGATCCTATATGAGAAAAGCAACACATTAAATTAGGAATGCCTTCTACTTCCAGGGAGGAACTCAAATAATGTCATAAGTGTATTCCGACAAAACATGAGCCCACATTGCTTTATTTCATCCCAAACTTACCGCCTGCTTGCACCAGGAACAGCTGATAGCCACAATCTCTTTACTGTGGAAGGAGAACTTTTGCTGGAAGCCCTGGGATATTAGGACAAGAGACAGAGAATTTAAAACCAACTCAGTTACAGCACACATTTGCCCTCCTGAAGTGCAATGACGTGAATAAGGCCAGAACCGTCACCCACCACTGGAGGGACGTAGAACTGCAAATGCCACATTGAGCACCACACTCTCCACTTTCTGCCTGCGATGATTTTCTATTCCGGAAGCATTTCGAGTGAGAGAGAGAGAGGAGGTGCTGGTATTTCCTAGCCCACTACTATTCAAAGTCAGCCACACAAAACGAGCTTTTTGAAAAAATAAATGGAGTTCTGATATATTTTTATGACAACCAAAGGAAAAGCCACTATTGGTTCATATGGTCCTGTATAACAAAAATCATTCATGTTAGAGGCTCTACACACCTTTAGCATTTGAGAACCCAGGAAAAAAAAAAATGAAATTTCAGAGACAATAACTGGAACTCAGGGTCTTGGAGAAGTCCAAGGGTGTAGTAGTAAATTCAGACACTTTCATAAGCCCCTTGAGATGTCTCTACTCAAAACAAGCAGCTTTTAATTTTTATTCTTTACCAGGAAGCAATGATGAAATCAATGAAATGGTAAACCCAATCCTCTTAAAGGAACAAACTGAATTACTTTTCCATCAAGAAGAGGTGATTTTCAGCTGCTGCTGTCCCTAAATAATGGCCGGAGAGAAATAAGTAGTATTACACAAAGAATTTTTTTAGCCTTCCCAAAGTTCATCCATTTCCCTCTGCCTGTGAAATCTAAACCCAAACAAAAAATTCAAAGTCACAATAAAAAATGTTAAAACAGAGCTTTTGTAAGGTGATCCAAAGAAAACAGAAAGATGTGATAGGCAGGAAAGCTATTCAAGGCACTGGCTAAATAAGTCTGACTTAATGTGTACAGATAATTTTAAGTTGAAAATCCATTACAACATTATTAAATGATGTCCCAATGGCATTTTTCAGCGCCCATAATCCCTGCCCATCTGCAGTACTTTATATACTACCAAGCATTTCCTCCTTTTGAACCTCTCTCCTCTCTTGATTTCCTAATACACCGTCCCAATTCTCCTCTACCTCTCCAGTCTTCTGTATGTGGACAGACGACCAGGACTGGTTTAACTACTTTTGCTCCAACCTCAAGTACCACTTCCAGAGATGTGACCTTAAGATCAGACTCTCCTGGGTTTTGAAAATTGTATCCATCAATACCTCCTTCTCAAAAACCTAAGTGGTATTATCACTCCCTGTGCAGAAAAGAGTTAACATAGCAAATCAGACTTCTTAGAAAGGCTGCTTGCAGCTGGGTGTGGTGGCTCATGCCTGTAATTCCAGCATTTTGGGAGGCTGAGGCAGGTGGATCACCTGAGGTCAGGAGTTCAAGACCAACCTGGCCAACATGGGGAAACCTCGTCACTACTAAAAATAGAAAAGTTAGCTGGGCTTGGTGGCAGGTGCCTGTAATCCTAGCTACTTAGAAGGCTGAGTCAGGAGAATTGCTTGAACCCAAGAGTTGGAAGTGGCAGTGAGCCGAAATTGTGCTACTGCCCTCCCGCCTGGGTGACAGAGCAAGACTCCATCTCAAAAATAATAATAATAAAATAAAAAGTTTTTTAAAAGTAAAGAAAAGCTGCTTGCAAGGTTGGCCCTTGGTTGGCATCTAGGAACTTGGATTTCAGGAAGGTTTCTCCAATTGTCAGCACAGTTAAGAGTGTCTCACTGGGCCTAAACTGTTTGCACAGGCGGGGCATGGTGGCTCACACCTGTAATTCCAGCACTTTGGGATGCTGAAGTAGGTAGATCGCTTGAGCCCAGGAGTTTGTGACAGGCCTAGGCAACACAGTAAGACCTTGTCTCTAGATTAAAATTTTTTTTAAAAAAGAAAAGAAACTTTTTGTGCAAACAATTGTAGTTTATGCTGAATATCTTCTGTCCTTCTGGAAGTCCGGAATTTTATTATGTGCAATGCAGAGGGTGCTTATGTAAAAAGGCCTCAATAAAAACCCTGGACACTGAGTCCAATATTCCTTCCACATGTGTTTCACAGTACATTGCTGGAGGAATTAGGCACATCCCCTGGGAGAGAACTCTTGGAAGCTTGTGCCTGGCCTCCTCCAGACTTTGTGCCATGAGCCCTTCCCTTTGTTGATTTTATTTTGTATTCTTGTGTTGTAATAAACTATAGATGTTAGCACTACAGACTGAGTCCTGTGAGTCCTCCTAGTGAATCACTGAACCTGGGGTGGTCTTGAGGACCCCTGATATGCTCCTCTCCTCCCAGATAACGACTCTTGCTATTTCTTCTTCTGTCAATGACAGTATCTTTTCCCAAGAAAAAAAAAGTGCTTCTGACACACACACACACACACACACACACACACGAACTTAAGTGCTGCAGTTTGATGTCCGTGTGTTTACTACTACAGGGCCAGCAACAGCCCCTACAGTCCCCAACACCTGAGAGTTGCAACTGCCTAAAGAGAACAACTTACAAGAGGATACAGAGTGTAGAGGGCCAAAGCGTTGGGTGCGCAGGTCTTTTCAAAGATGATGCTAAACTGCTCAATATGAAATAAGATAGCACCAAAACTGCAGAAATGACTTCACATTGCAGCCATTTGAAAAGCCCCTCATCATCCCCCAAGCCATTTTTCAGGAAGCAAAAAAAGGCTACAGCGACACTTTGTGGCTACTGTGTGAAGAAAGAAGACAGCCGCAGAAGCTGGGGTGAGACCCGAGGGCCTCTGTCCAGCCTGGTATCAAGCTCTGCTGATGGTCACCTCCCATCCAGATTTTTGCTCCATTTTCTAACTTGTCCCTCCACTGAGAGTCTGTTTCTCCCTTTATTCCTCACTCTATCCTGGACACTGCCACCAGGTAAAATGATGCTTTCTAAGTTTCTGCCTCCCATTCAAAATATTTGAATGACACTTCTTTCCTTACAGATTAGCAGAATAAGCTCTTCATGCAGGTATTCAGGGCCACCCATAATCTTCCCATCAATTTTCTGACATCTATCTTCCACTCCTTTGTATTATAAATTCCTGTCCAGAGTGAGACAGATCTACTCATATCCACAATATGTTTTATTCTTTTATAGTTCTATTTATTTATATATGGCTGTTTCTTCATTCCCAACATACCATAAGTTTCCCTAGAAACTTACCCCCATTTCATATACAGTATCTAAATTTGGCTTCCACTAAAAAATCTACAAGAGTCTCCCAAAATCACCTCAACTCACCGTGATCTCTTCTCGTACAGGCTTGCCTTGCCTCGTACCTACCCTTGCCATTATAAATAGCTTCCCTATGTGGCTGGTTACTTTGTGTACACATGTATTATCTCTCCAATGGAACTGTAAGTTCTTTGAAGGCAGTCAGTCCTTGTATAGTTCTTAGCAACTTGGCATAGTTCTTTGAACATCATAGGCATGCCATGATATTTTCTGATTAATTGAACCAAAAAGTCTGCTGCTATTCCATCATGATCTAATTACCAACTTCATGCTATCCAGACATTATAAGCCTTGCCCAAGCCACCTGAAAATATATTTCCTCACAGTATCCTTCCAGTCAAAAAAACTAACCCCTACAGACACTGCAAAGACGGTAGGATTCTAATGTTCATTTTTAAGTCCACAATATTAAAATGCTGCATGGATAAAAATCAATACACTAGAATTTGTGGCACAACAGCAGTAGTAGCCACAACTAGAGGTCTGCTAAATGTTACGGTTTAAAATTTATCATTATTTTATCATTATAAGTCTTAAATGCAATCACCAGGCCACCATTGTCTCCACTTAGATATCAGATGGCTGTGCATCAAACAAAAGCTGAGGAGAGATGGCAAAGCTCAGAATCATTCTTGGATCTTCTCGTTGGCTGAGTGATCCTAGGCAAATCACTTAACTCTTCTAACTTCCTCTTTCATGTGAAAATGAGAATGATAATAGAAACCTCTCCTATAACACTAAGTGGTTATAAGCATCAAATAAGGCCATGCATTTAAAAGTCTTTATAACACTTTACTTATTTATGTATTTAATGTGTGTTTATATAAAATTAAGGAGTGCTTTTATTGCTAAGATCTATGAACAGGAACCTCTTCCACCATCTCGCTGAGAAAGCTTTCTGGTGTCTAATATGTGACTAAGTGATGCTCAACTCAACGATACAGGGTGAGTGTATCTAGCCCCACCTCACCACTAAATATTAGCCGTCTGGTTTCTGGGAGAGAACAGATACAATCCACTGTGGTACTGACAGCTAGACCGACACCAGAAACAAACAATAAGGCCAATCACAATTGGGGCACTGGGCACTACACTTATGCAGTATTGTGGCAGGACCCTTGGCAATGAGCCCAGTGGTAATCAACTCTGTGCTTTGTTTTAGATTCTTGTCTGGCAGACTCACAGCAACCATAGCTTCAGGCTTATCATCTAACACAGAGATATAAATAGAAGCACATCAGAGCCTTCACGAACCAAGTTCCCATTAAACCACCTGCTATGGGAAGACTTTGGCCAGGCTCTCAGCATGCCAAAATGAACCAGATTCCAAATTGCTCATTTTTAAATGTTGGCCCAAATCTGCTATTATGGTACTGACAGATGCCCTGACTGAATTTCAACTGACTCTATGATTTTTAAGAGCTGTTTAGTTCAGCACTGTCAAAGAGGAAAATAGGGATGGGAGGTCAGATGCTTTGGATCCAACTGACTTCAGAATTGAAAATACCAAGAACATTGAGGAATTAGGTCTCTTTTTGTTCTTTGGAATTTTTCAGTCAAACTTAACCTTTGGAATAAAGTTTAAACCAGATTTATTGAGTACTAAACTTTGTTGCCTTCTGACTACTTCTGCCATCTAAGGCAGGTACCAAATGGCACTCAGTTTTACAGCCTTGGCTGAAACCAGAAAAAAAGGCCTTGACTTAAAATAAGCTGAATTTATTTCATTATTTCTGTATTTAACTTTGTTTGGGGTGAGAGAATATTCTG